CTGTGGCAGGGGGGGGGGGGGGATTATTATTATGATGGGATGACGGTGGCGAGAGGTTTTGGGGTGTCATTATGATGGGATGACGGTGGCGAGAGGTTTTGTGGTGTCATTATGATGGGATGACGGTGGCGAGAGGTTTTGTGGCGTCATTATGATGGGATGACGGTGGCGAGAGGTTTAGTGGTGTCATTATGATGGGGTGACGGTGGCGAGAGGTTTAGTGGTGTCATTATGATGGGGTGACGGTGGCGAGAGGTTTTGTGGTGTCATTATGATGGGATGACGGTGGCGAGAGGTTTTGTGGTGTCATTATGATGGGATGACGGTGGCGAGAGGTTTTGTGGTGTCTTTATGATGGGATGACGGTGGCGAGAGGTTTAGTGGTGTCATTATGATGGGGTGACGGTGGCGAGAGGTTTTGTGGTGTCATTATGATGGAATGACGGTGGCGAGAGGTTTAGTGGTGTCATTATGATGGGATGACGGTGGCGAGAGGTTTAGTGGTGTCATTATGATGGGGTGACGGTGGCGAGAGGTTTTGTGGTGTCTTTTCACTCACCACACCCCACCCACTCCAACAGTGGTTCTCACAACCATAGCAGGCCAACAATTGGGTACGATTAAATGAATGAAATGACCAAACCAAGGTTTCTAGTGATCAGAAACGACTTGGTGTCATTTATAGAAAACAGGAAATCGATTATTGATTGAAATCAGCTGTATCATATCTGAACATTTACTGAAATTAGTTGAAAAGTGAAGTTATGAATTTTCATGATAAAAATAATTAATTCTAGACTATATGAAGCAATGTTTATTGGGACTAAACAGGGCGAAATGTCAGTAGATGGGCTACCGTACTTAGTGCATTAAATGTTCGTTTCATTGATCTATATCAGTTGCCAACCTGTGGGTCGCGACCCCTTTGGGGATCGAATGACCCTTTCAGAGGGGTCGCCTAAGACCATCGGAAAACACATATACCCAACAGTTATGAAGCAGCAACGATATAAACAAATTTGGTTAGAGGTCGCCACAACATGAGGCATGGTGTTAAAGGGTCGAGGCATTAGAAAGGTTGAGAACCACTGATCTATATATTTATAATAAACATTGTCAGGTTGATTATTGTAATATTTTCAGCATTTTTTCGTTTTTATGCAGCAACAATCATGTTTCATTAATATAGACAATGAGAATTAAGATGTATATGCTAAGTTTTAATGACAAAATAACTCATGATATTACTTGTATTGAGAGAGAGAGAGGGAGAGAGAGAGAGAGAGAGAGAGAGAGAGAGAGAGAGAGAGAGAGGGGGAGAGAGAGAGAGAGAGAGGGCGAGAGAGAGAGGGACAGAGGGAGAGAGAGGGAGAGAGAGAGAGAGAGAGAGAGAGAGACAAAGAAAGGAAGACAGACAGACACAGAAAGAGAGAAAGACAGAGAGAAGGAAAACGATAGAAAAAGAGAGATGAAGAGAGAGAAGAGAGAGAGAAAGAACGATTGAGAGAGATAGAGAAAAAGAAAGAGAGAGATAGAGAGAAAAGAGGGATGGAGAGAGACAGAGAGAACTAAAAAGAGAGGATGATAGAGTTTAAAATGTATTGTTATGGATATCCTTGTAAAAACACCCCCCCCCAAACAACAACAACACCCAACACAACCGCTTCATAATGTTATTTTATTTTGACCAGCTGTATGGTTAAGAGGCCATTTTTAAAAAAAAAATAAGCCGAATGTAATCTTTAGTTTAAAGCAAAACAAGTCATCGAAATAACATCACTGTGAAAAAATCCA